GAGCAATGGGACAAAAAATATATTATTATAGTTAAGCGAAGCAGCCGGTGGTTTCATTTATTTATTTAAGACTGATTCACTACTAATTGGGTTGTTATATAATCAGTTGGTAAAGAAATTAAGATATATTCTACCAAGAAAAACAAGTTAAGATATAATGCAATACTTTTAGTTCAAAGGTCATCAATCCTTGTGTACTTGGATGCAGGAAGATTGGACTATTGGAGCCTCAAAGCTCAGAGTCAGCAACGTTCGTCTGCTTGGCTCCCTACAAATAGTCAACATAACAGATCCAACATTTTACCTTTACACGTTATTATATATAGTATAAAAAGCGAAACAAAAAACAAATTAGAAATTGGGATCACCCTTAAGAGAGAACAAAGACCTTGAATTTTAATTAACAACTTCTTTATCCATTCTTTCTGCTTTTTCCGTTGTTTTTACTTGAAGCATGGTGGCACAATACTTTCAACCAGACTGTTGTAAGGTTTGGACTAGACCGGATGGTTGAACTAGTGACTCAATGAACTTTATAGGTTTTAAATAGTTAATGATTTGTATGGTTTGAACAGGCTAATCCCCGGTTAATTTATCAATAAAACTGTGACCCAGTGTACTGACCTGTAATGTGGGTTGTGCCGTGCTGGCACTCAGATTATTTCCTACAAACTTTTCCTACGCACTCTCTACCGCCATGAATTGAAGCCACACATCTTTTAATTCATAATAGAGATGTGTGGCTCTAATTCACGGTGGGTAGAGAGTGGGTAGAAAAAGTTTGTAGGAAATCTCGAGTGTACTGTCACGACACCGAATGTAAGCAGCCCTGATGCCATATGTGTCGTGTTGTGCCAGGCCATGCATGGGCAGTATGGTCCCCCTCCCAGGTTAGGCCTGGCATGGCCCATGGCCTGGTTCCTAATTGTGCCGGCTGTGCTAGGGCTGAGGAACCAGACCATGGCTGGTCAGCCTGGGCCGGTTTTACTATATTTCTTTTCTAGGCTTCCAGTTCCAGGTTCTAATGCAGTTTTTCACATTTCCTAAATTAAGAAGAATTTAAAGAATGAAAAAATAAGATATAATAAGAGAAAATTAACATGAATAATAGACAATAAATTGGAAAAAAAATTGTCATTTCAAATTTAATGTTTACAAAAAAAAATAAATAATAAATTAAAAAATAATACAATGGAGTTGATCATTGATTCACTCAAGCTGCTCTCTTCTTCCCTATTTCGGGTGAGATGCCATGTATCTATACAAATGGCCAATGTCACCACTGTTGTGTGGCAGTTGAAATCATGTCTGTACTTTTTGCAAATTGTTCTTTTTTCCTTTACAGAGATTTTTACAGTCTCAAATATATTCTAAATTGCACTCTTTTTGTAATCAAAGTGGGACCTGGTATTACTAGATTAGGCTTCATCAACAAAAGGAAAAGGATTTTGAAAAGAGTCGACCATTGTAGAGAATAATAAAGATGAGAGTATATAATATAAGAAAGTATGAAAGTTGTTGTGATGAGAATGAGGGAAAGTAGGGGTATTTATAGAAGCTGCTGATTTTGGGGATTAATTTGACTAAAATACCCTTCAAACTAGCTATTTATGTTTGTTGGAAGTGGTATTTTGATAATTTTTAGGATTATAATTTTTTAGGATTATATGTTGGAAGTGGTATTTTGGTCATTTTTAGCAGTGGTTTATAGCTGTTGGAGGGTATTTTGACACCCCCTAACGGTTATATTCTGTTGTGGGCTGCATGTGTGTGGTGTCGTGTCAGGCTGGGCTTTTTGATCGTGTTATGCCTTAGAGGCCCAGTCCACTCCATAGACTAGGTCCAGCATGGCACGGTACTGTAGTGGCTAGGCCATGCCAAGCACGGTCCCTGTTGTGCTGGCCCACCACTGGCCCAGCCCACATTACAACTCTAGTTTTATGGTCATGGATTAATATAAGGACCGATGTTTAAAATTTTATATCAACAGTTTGTCGTTTAATTAAATAACCAAAATATTGATAAAAACAAGGAAAATTACCAAACACTCAAATCAAATTAATTAACAATTGAAAACGGTTCAATAAAAAGTCTTACAAAGAATCTAAATAAAATAGATTGAAGCATAAAAAGGTTTAAAATTTTGTAAATGACCCATTGGGGAAAAATAAGGATAAAAAATATTGATGCTCTTACCTTCTTTTTTTAATTTTGTATTGTGACATATCATTTTTATCTACAAAATATGGGTCTTATTTGGTTAAGATTTGGAGTCAAAGATTTTTCTTTTCTAAGGTAAATTTTGAAGCTCAAAAGAATCAATAATCAAAATAACTTTTGAGTAAAAGAAAAACACAAAAAAAAAACATGCCATTACTCGCCCATTGCCGCTAGGAATGTTGGTGGGTCAGATTAAGGGGGTGTTCTTTTTTTGGATTTTGAGAGGAGGGAAAATTGGTCAATAGGATTTTGGTTCCCATTGATTAAGAATCTCATGTTCTTTTTTCAGATTTATATGAAGACCCGGAAAAGTTTCTTTTCCTGGGTATATCACTTACCTCTCTTAGGTGGGTAAATAACTTTTCCATATAGGGGGAAAGTTGACAATAATTGAATGGGACAAAAATACCCTTTTTAATAATGAATTTTTATGACTAAAATGGCCAATGCCTTATTTACATGACAAATAAAAGAATATGCGTAAATACACTTACCCGAATAAATATTTCTCAAGAAAAATTTATCCCGATAACTGCATTTACCTGAATAAATAACTTACCAAAAAGCGAACGAAACCTAAATAATAAACCAGCAATGACCCGTCAAATCAGCTTTAATGTTAGGTTCTGAGCCAGGTTTGAATTGAGAGAAACCTGTTGTTATTGCAGCTTTAAAATATTCTTATATATAAAGTTGCTTGAGTATAGATGTGAAATGGGTCAGGTTGGATTCAGTAGGCCTTCGAGCAAGACCCTACAGAACTCAGTCCGTTGACATCTCTAATTTTTACCCCTAAATTCATAAAATAAAAAAATGGTCAAAACTTCAAAATAAAAAAAAAAAGAAAAATTTATATTATCCCAAATGCATAACGTGAAAGAAGCGGCACAAAATTAGGCTAAGTAAGATAGTAAAGGATTCACTCCATCAGCCCGTCCCAACTAAACACAAAGTCAAAAAGAGCCCACACGCATATAGATAGACCTGCCAATGAATGTAGTAGCCTCTCAGACAAGCGAAGCGAGTACATTAATGGAAATAGCAAGAAATAATAATTTGTCTCATTATCCCAGCATGTTGCACGTTTATCCGGTAGTTATGGCCATTATTTTTCTCTTTAATTTCCCTGTTTTCTGATAGGGACGACTCCGGCCGCATTACACTACACACGCTGTTTTGTTTGTTGTGAGTCTTGTGACTTGTGAGTGGACTAATTAATTATCATTTATCAATTACATTAAATTCAAGCGTAAATTAGGGGTATCACACGGAAATTATTCAGTATAAACACTAGAAATTTGGACTGAAGCCAAAACCTAAATTCAAGTTGAAATGTGATTAATGGGGCAATTCAAGTTGCATATGCTGAAGTAATGGGTTTAGTAAGGCTATGCTTGGTTTGAAGGAAAAGGTAGGGAAAGAAAAAAAAAATGTAAAGAAATTTTTACAAACCTTTTATAGTTTTTTTTGCCTTTTTTCCTTCCTTTTCCTTTTTTTTTATTCAAATCAAACACACCCTAAAAGTTAAGGTGGTAAGAAATACAAGTGTACAAACTTAGTTATGTGATCAATCACGTATAAACATGCTAATATATATGTGATCGATCACATATAAACATATTTGCAATAGTGCCGCACTCAGACATGACACAACGCAAACCACTCAGATAGACCATAGAGCACCCCCTCACACGGGCCTCACAGTACATTCCACCATACATAGAGAATATGTTCCTATCAATAAAATATGCAAATATGGAAAATGTTTCCAATATGCGATTTAGAGGTTTTACGAGGATAGTGTAACACTCGGTGAGCAGCAGATCCCATGTGGCCCCCGTGAAAGAAATGCCACAGACCAACTTTTTTTTTTCAGATTAACAAATAACACGCGGAAAAGAAAAACATAGAGAATCTACTAAATACTAATAAAAGGAGACCAACTTTTTCTTTTTAAGCACCGACCACTTAGACCATGCTTCATGGTTCAATCGCCAAATTGGGTTGCGGTTGATCCGATTACCCAACCCGGCCGATAATTGACATTCTTGATTTTTCAACCCTAACAAGTCCCAAATCTCAAATTGGGTTGACATATTTTCTAATACCAACATTGACTTGTGTTGAGTTCAGACCGACGCATCACTAGAATATACTGACAAAATTGACACGTCTCTCCGCAACAAGAAATCAATCCTGCTGAGAGGGTGAGACAGTCCAGTTGTGAGATTCATGCCGGACAAGTCTCACTTCATTCGAGACCACTATTATTTTGACTTTGATTTCTTTACACCTTTTTCGCAACTCTTTCAAATATTCAGCGTTACTCAACCTGTCCATCAACAATAAACCTTGTAGTTTTATGTAGCTCCATGGTCTAACTCCAAGGATGATGTGAGCCCTCGCGAAATTTCTTTGCTATTTCGAGTAAGATTATTACTGTAAAAAAATAAAATAAAATTACGCAAATCTTCCTTCCTGGTGTTAACAGTAAAATTGAAGCGGCTTACGGCGAAACGTTAACCATTGACGACTGACGAAGGGTGTATTTCGTCCGTCGTCATCATCTGAGTCATGCTTTACAATTCGGGGCATTTTGGGCAGTTAAAATATGCCGAATCTATCTCTGCATTGGCCCCACATAATGCACCATATGAACGGTTTTCAAAGATTACCGTATGCAACCACGGCCTGACCAAACCGTGTCTCTAGACTTTCTTGTTTTCAGTTCACCATTCAGCCGTTCACCAATTACCTTGCCTTCGGCGCAAAGAAAACAGAATCACGATTCGTCGGACCGTATAAATCCCAGGGTTTTTTTGTCATTTTACGACCGCTCTATCTCTATATATTCACGTCTCCTTTGTAGTCCCACCTGTTGTTGCTTGTTGTCGCTTGTCTCCTTGCAAAAAAGGCTTTATCGGATCTTTATTCTGCGCTTTCGCTCTCTTTGTCTCTCCCCCCATGCAGATCGCATCGTTTCTTCCCGCTGAGAACTGTTTTGTTTTCCCGGCGACGGCGAGAAGTGTCAATTTCGCCTGCAGCGGATCGCTTTTGAACCCTTCTACAAGGACTTTGGCCTCCGTCCAGACGCTAAACCCAGCCACATCCACCGAAACGAAGTTCAGCCATTACAGTATTTCCACCAACTCCGCACGCACCCACCTCGCCAACTTAGAAAAGTTGCTTCAGAAGAATTCCCCACCACCTCTATCCAATCAAGAGGTCTTCCACAAAACTTCTGGCAATGGGTCACTTGAAAACAAGGGAAGGCCTCTGTTAGAAGGCCTGAACATATCCAGGATATGGGAAGGGCCGAGGACCACCGAGGAGATGTCGCCGAGACATATGAACCGACTAAAACGACTCCTATCTAAAACGCCCGAATATTCACCTAGGAACAATCTCGGTAAACGATGGCCGGAGTATCACGGCAGCAACGATTGGGCCGGCCTCTTGGACCCGCTCGACGAGAATCTCCGCCGTGAGGTGGTCAGATACGGCGAGTTCGTTCAAGCGGCGTATCATGGTTTCCAGTCTAACCCCTCCACGTCAGAAGGCGAGTTTTCCATGCCTCGCAACGTAGCCTTACCAGACAAATCATACAGACTAACCAAGAGCCTGTACGCCACATCATCAGTCGGGCTACCCGAGTGGGTAGACAATGTGGCGCCAGATCTCCGGTGGATGACTCAGAGGACCAGCTGGATCGGGTACGTCGCGGTTTGCGACGACAGGAAGGAGATCTCACGGATGGGAAGGCGAGATATACTAGTCTCTCTCCGTGGAACTTCTACGTGTCTCGAATGGGCCGAGAACTTCAGGGGACTCCTGGTTCAGGTCCCTGGAGACGATTCCGATTCCGAGGACTCCGGCTCGTCCAGCCACGGCCCGAGCCCGCCCAAGGTGGAACAGGGATTCTGGAGCCTGTACAAGACCAGTGGGACGGACGTGCCAAGCCTGGCGGAATCAGTTGTGGAAGAGGTGCGTAGACTGATGGAGGTGTACAAGGGCGAGAGCCTGAGCATCACGGTCACGGGCCACAGCCTAGGCGCGGCCTTGGCCTTACTGGCCGCGGACGAATTAAGTACATGCGCGCCGAGTATGCCCCCGATTGCAGTTTTCTCGTTCGGCAGCCCGCGCGTAGGCAACCGGGGCTTCGCCAATCGGATCAGAAACAAGGGCGTGAGGGTGTTGCGTGTGGTGAACTCACAAGATGTGATCACAAAGGTTCCGGGAATGCCGGTGGTGGGAGAAGGGCTTGAGAACACGCCATTGTCATACTCGGACATAGGGACGGAGCTGAGGGTGGACAGCAAGATGTCGCCATATCTGAAGCCCAACGCCGATGTTGCATGCTGCCATGACTTGGAGGCATATCTCCATTTGGTGGATGGGTTCTTGGCATCAAATTGCCCATTCAGAGCAAACGCCAAGAGAAGTCTTGTGAGGTTGCTCAATGAGCAAGGCTCCAATGTGAAGAAACTGTATATAAGCAAAGCCAAGGACTTGAGATTGAACGTGGAAAAGCAGCAGGCACAATTTACAATCCCTACTTGTAGTTTACCAAGTCCGTCATGATTCATGATTCTCAATTCTTATTTCGTTATTCAAACAGGTATATAGATGCATCTAATACCAACAGAAAGATCCTCAACCCTGTAAGATCCTTCAGTTCAATAGAGAAAAACAATCTTTCAACGGTACTCAAATGTTTTCACTTTTAATTTGTTTTTCTTTCTCTCGTTTAATTCTTGTTGGGGTTGCTTTAATTGTATGTGATGGTGCGCCATCTGGCGGATCTCACGTGGCAGATGACTCGGATTCTCAATCAGATGTACATACTTTCGGTGGCCCAGAGTGGGCACCCCGATGCTTAAGTCAACGAGGAGTTCTTAGGAAATTAGAGAGTGTGAAAGCTTAATTGTGCATATCTCTTCTGGTGGAAATGAGACCTTTAGGTGTAAATGGTTTAAGACCTCTTGTAATGGGTCCCTGACTCCCAGACCTCCTGTAATGGGTCCCTGACTCCCTGACTCCCAAACGGTTAGTAAAATTCAGAGAATAGTCAAAACCATTGACTTGTTCAAAATCCATCCGACCCAGACGGTTGGTCTGTTGACCCGTTTGACTCAATGACCAAGTTGTGGGTTGTACACTAAATGTGTATGCAAACTTTCGGAGGCCGTAACTTTGCACTCCGATGTTCGATTTAGCTGATCATTTTTATTTATTTTGGATAACTTTTTGAGATCTAGGTGTCCCAAAGTGACCTAGGTGCCTTGTCAGCTATTTTCTCAAAAAAAAAAAAAACTTTTTTGGCCTCAAATCGGAATTTTTAATATGTTTTACAAATAAAAATATAACCTTAATAAAATATTAAAATTGATAGAAAAATACTATATAAATTATATATTAATAAATTAAATATTTTTAACTAATATTATCTTATATATTATTTATCAAATTTATAAAAATACTATAAACATTTAATCAACTAATTAGTTCCGGATCTGAATTGATTTGAGAATATATAGATAAAAACTAAAAGCGACCCAATAATTAATTGAAACAAAATTATGAAACAAAAACTATTATAATTGATTTGGTCCTTTCAAATCCGCCGGGTAAACCCGATCCATTGACAGCCCTAATTTTTCGAATTTACTCTAACTTAACCAGCGGTATCCCATAACGACGCGCCTTTAAGCTTGTAATATAGACTATCATGTGATATTCTTTATTAATGAATTGGCTAAAGGCACATCAGACATTCCTGCAAGTCCCAATCTCTTTAATATTCTTTATTAATAAAATAATGATAAATCTTTGGAGAAAAAACTAATATATTAATAAATTTTAATGGAAAGTATCCGAAGACAGTCCACTTCTCCCTTTATCGCTTTTCATTGTATACCTTCATCTATGATATAAAAGAAAAGGCGATCATTTTTTTTTATTTAAAAATTAAAAGCATTCATCCCATGTGGATTGAAAAAGCAAAAGAACTGCAGTTACGCTTCTATTGTTCTTGAATTGCTTTTTCTTTCCAATAGTTTTTAGTGTATGCACGTTTTGTTCGTTTGATAGAATTGAGCGCGTCTGGTCCTACGAAGTTTGGGTTACCTTCCGCAGCACGTTTTTTAGGTTTGAAGTTCGATCAATCACTTTCTGTAAATACAAATAAGATCTTTCCTTCATCTTTCATCTTTGGAACCCATGGCAAATAGGAGAAGCGAGAAATGATCGGCCTCTCTATTTTGCCTTTTTTTTCTCTTTTTTCTCTGTTCTTCTCCAATCAACCCTAAAAAGGAAATGATCGGCCTCTCTACATCTTTGAAGTCAATTCGATCGATCACTTTCTGTAAATACAAATCAGATCTTTCCTTCATCTTTCACATCCATGGCAAATAGGAGAAGCAAGAAACGATCGGCCTCTATTTTGCCTTTTTTTTTTCTTTTTCTCTGTTCTTCTCCGATCAACCCTAAAGAAACTCTACATCTTTGTTCCATCACTAGCTGTCATGATCTCTCGTCCAGAGCCCCTTCCACCAGCATCAAAGAAGATTTGCAGCGGTTCTACTCACCACCGATAGGAGGATTTTTGTGGATGCCTATATTACTTAGTCTCTTCAACTGCTTGTGGTGTGGGCGCTACGGCATTACCTCTTCGCCAAATACCTCGATTTAGGCCTTCTGATCTCATTGTACAAAGGAGTCCTAGTTTGAGCCGATAAGCAAGGTTCAATTAGGTGCAAGCTGTGGTGTTAGATTTTTCTATTTTTTTTTTAGCTTTTGTATTGCTTTTGAGGATTTTTAATCCATGAAGATAGGGATGCAAATGGATCAGACCGGATTGGAATCAGGATATATTTGAATTTGATCCAACATGGTTTATGTTGGATCCTATGGGATCTTATAGGACTTGATTTGAATTCAAATTTTATTGGTAAGTCGGATCTTCATATTTGATCTGATTCGGCTTAATTTCCTTAAAAATTAATAAATTATTAAAAAATAAAATATACTAATTTAAATAAAGTAAAAACAAAAAATGTAAGTATTTTTTAATTATTTTCATCATATATATACATATTTTTATAAAAAATTAAATAATATAATAAATTTATAAAAATATATTTATAAATAAATAATATATGTATTATATATACTTATATTTATAAATATATAATATATATCAGATTTGATAGGGAGTGATCCGAATTCGATCCGATCCAAACAGGGGTGATCTGAATTCAACCAAATAGGATTGGATCTCGAATCAGATCAGATCAGATCCGGTCCATTTGCACCCCTACATGCTGAGGCTTAGGGTAGAGGTGACCATTTTAGCTTGGCCTGTCCCAACCTGGAAATTCTAGGCTTGGTGTTGCACCTTCAAGACTAGCCCAAGCCTGACCGCATCAAACCTATAAATTTTAGGGCCAAGCTTGGGCCCAATTCTTCAAGTCCGGCCGGCATATGTACACATGTTATTTTATATTATATTGCTAGCAAGAACCTGAATGATGCATGGGAAAAGTTGCTATCCAATACAATGATGGGGGAAATTAAAATTGAAGCAAAAGAGTAATCTAAGTATTGCTGGTTCAAGTCCAATCCGAGTATTATTATTTTTTTGTCTGATAAGCTTTGTTAATTTTTATTAATTATTAGTAAAATTTAAAAAAAAAAATTGTTAATATTTTAAACATATTAAATTTTAAGATTTGTGAGGAGGGATGATCTACACCTCTAATCACGACCTACTACGTGGCAGCCCGAAACTGTTTTATGACACCTCAGCAATACATGTGGTAGAACCCCGCTTTTATGCTCCTTGGCAGATTGGCTTATGCGACCAGAACGAACTCCGACCTCATTTAAGAGCCTATTGGTAGACTGGCTTACGATCTCAGAGCACATGATTGCTTTGACTGCATCGCACTTCCGACTTACTTGTCCAACCTGGGTAACCTGCAACCTAAGGGACCTCTAACCTCAATATGCCTCCGACCTACATGGTGTGTCTTTCCTCTTGTCCATTTGCATCAGATAGCGGCCTCGAGACATATGCGCATACAATGCCCACCTAGCAGTGGTAAGCCCGACTCCCTCTACTTCATGGGGAACCAGATAAGGACAATTGTGGCACCATGCAAACATATCCCATAAGCAATAGACAAATGAGCAACAACATCCCGAATCTGTCAAACATGTTATAACCCAGCCTCGAGGTTTATATAAAGGCGATCCTTCACCCTCAGAAGGTACACTCACTTATTGGCACACATACTCTAGCTCTGGTTCTTGTTCGATTATTTTGTATCACCTTGTCAGCTCAATGCTTACTTGACCGTCAGAGACCCTTGCCCAGTCATCCCCCCGAGCCCTCTAGCATTGCTTATTTTGCAAATTCAGCATCCGACCACACTTGTCGAGCTCCGAGTTGTCACTGCCAACAAGGACTCAGCTCAATTTGGCCATCATCAATTTGAATTTATGTTTATTAATTATTTAAGTTTATATTTTATTAATGCAATTATTTTTAATCAAATTGGCTTGAAATAATTAAAAGTAATTTAAATTTACCCAAATTAAAACTAATTAAAAAATTTATTATATTATTAAGTGAACTTTGTTAATGTAATGTGTGCTAAAGTTTTGTTACTTAAATTTGAATTTTATTAATGAATTTGTAAATTACTAATTAAATAAAATTATTTTGCACCTACAAAGGACATGGTTTAACTGAGACCACATTGTGTAGCCTCATGAAACCAAAAATGGCTATTGACCCTACCAAATCCACTGCAAGCCCCCATACGGCTCCCATCTCAGGCGTTCATCTCCACCTATCTCCAGGCAGCTCAAGTATAAATAGGGGTACCCCCTCCAGGTAAAGGGGTTACAAAAACTCAATACCTACATCTATTGTCATAATAGCCATTGCAATAACTGCTATTGTGACTTTAGTCTAGAACTATCTACCAGGATCCTGTCCTGGTACTCTCCCTTCGTACCTTGTACTAACTTGACCATTGGAGAGTCTGCCTCGGGTTCTCACCCAGGGCCTCTAGCGAGTTTCTACCGTGCAGCACTTCGGCCATCTACCCTCTGCTTCTACCGTACTCAGGGTCCACCCTGCCTCGGCCTACACACCTCGGCCTCAGCAACGACCTCTCTGAGTCCTCAAAGCCTTCGGAGTCTAGGGCGGAATTACTTTGTTGTCCTCGACCATTTCGAGCACCAACAATTGGTGCCATCTGTGGGAATGGCACAAATACGTTCCCCGAAAGAACTATAGCAAGTTAATAAGTCCCCAAGCTCTGACCAATCAACATGGTACGAAGAATGAGAAATACACAAAATCTTGTCACTAGTGAACAGTTCCAAGCCGTGCTCGATCGCATGGAATATTTGACACAACAAGTCGAGCAGAACTTCCCCCAGGCAGGAGGTCACCCCCAAGGTGACCGCCCGCCAGGGAGTCAACACAGTTGGGCCGGCACGACTCCACCACCCAGCCGGCCCCCAGGCTTGGCCACGCAGAGCGGAACAAGCCCTTAGAGTCTGGCAGTAGTCGCCCGGCCGACCCACGCTCCAACTAAAGGGGATGAGAGATCCATCCTATGGACGCCCAAAGATTACGAAATAAGGGGCGAATTTCAAAAATTTATCTCTCCCTTCAACTGGGAATCGTATTCCCTATTTATAAAATCATATT